TCACCGCGCCTCCTCCGGCCTCAGCCCCACCCCCTGAGCTCCCAGCTCCGCTGAGGCCTCAGCTGCCCATCCCTGCCTCTCCCCTTCCTCAACTTCAAGGAGACATCTTCTCCCACTACCTCCGCCATGCTGGCTTTGGGGACGGTCGTGCTGGAGGGTGAGGTGGGGAGTCCCCTCCCCGCCCCCACGCCCTGCCCTGTGGCTCCCTGTCCTTGGCCCCCAGCACAGCTGGGCTCTGCACCCAGCAGCCCCGCCCGCCCTGCCCAGGCGCCCGGCTCACCTGCCGAGTTCGGCTGAGCATCCTTGGCCTTCTCCGGGGACGAGAGGTCGAGAGCGTGGCTGAGGGACTCTTTGGAGAGTGTGTGCCCGTCGGTCAGGGAGCTGGCGGGTAGGAAACCACTGTTAGAACCGGCAGACACGCATCCGGGCCGGCTGGTCCTGCTCCGTGCCTCCCAGTGGGCGTTGGCGGACCAGACCCCTGGGAGCGGCAGGGGCTGTGCCACCCGACCCGGCCTGTCCCTGCGGGTTCTCAGGGCTCAGCAGGGAGAGAACCCAGTTGACCTGCTGTGCTGTGTGACTCTGGGCAAGTGCACGGCCCTCTCTGGGCTTGGTGTCCCCATCCAGGAGGACACCAATGGCCTGGCCCTGCAGGATCCGGGCACTGCCTGCCTCATAGAGTGCAGGCTCAGGGCTGGGTGGACTCCCACCCCCTTTACCCCCTCCTCCCCAGGTGTGAGAGCAGTAGCTCAGCAGCTCAAAGTGGAGTCAGCACGTGCCTGGCTCTCAGGGGTCCGAGCAGGCCCAGGGGGGCCTGTGGGTGGCCCTGTCTTCACCCACAGAGAGCAGCATGGGACCCGGAGGCCTGGTGGCCGGGCAGCACAGCCCGGTGGTGACTGGGCCTCCCTGTACCTGGCACCACGACGGGCCCACCCAGCCTCTGTGGACGAGCAGGTGGGGGCCAGCAGGCACCTCAGCACGGAGCCGGGCTGCGGCCACACAACCCCGGGCCACTCTCGGTCAGCGTGTGCACAGCCCCCGGGAGCTGTGGTCTGAGACCTGTGCCCAGGGGGGGCCCCCTTCCCGGGCAGCGGGCCAGTTACCTGCTTCTCACATGCGGCCTCGCGCCTTGCAGGTACCACGCGTTCAAACTAAGTTTGCAGACACACCTGGGCCCACCGGGCGGCAGTCTGCTTAAGAACCTGAGATGAGTTTTAAAGCAAAAGACACCAGGAGGTTATGACGGGAGAAGAAGGGGAGAAGGGGCTGAGTGGGGGCCGAGCGGTCCCTTCCGGGGACCTGGGTGAGCAGGGCCTGGCCGGGGGCTGGTGCTGGCCGGCTGTTGCTATGGAGACCGGCGGGGGGGGGGGGGGG